TAAGCAGAATGCACTAGCTCATGGTGAATGTTCTCTGTTTTCTTCTTGTTTTCCATGGAATTTACTTGCCTTTGGAATCAGTAAAAATTAAACTGTGGCTATAGATATTTGATGATATGAAGTGGGAAAAAGTTCCAAATTTTGGAGAGGAAAAGAGGAAGGGAGAAGGTAGAAAGGGAGAGAGAATGGCAGAGCAGGAGGGAGGGAGGGGAGAAGGTGAGAGAAAGGATAGGAGAGATAGAGACGAAGAGAACAAAATGTGGCCACCGTGGCCAGAGTGAAGGCTTTGCTAGGGTGGTCTGCCACACCACTGAGACAATTATGGCTGAAATAGCTCAAATGACTCCCCTGCCTGCCCTTGGGATTAAGCTGGCTTTCAGTGTGGGAAAGAGGACTCAAGAGAAAAGTCTGAAATGTTTATTTTAGCAGAAGTGTTAAGCTTCTTGTGAGAAGGCAAAGCCCCTAAACGGGGGAGATTATCACCAAGAGTGATCTGGACAACAGTTTCAAGGCAAGTGACTCCTCCGTGGGTAACACACTAAATACACAATTCCCGAGCTCTCTGTTTACAAGTGGCGGAGACATTTTTTATCAGCGAGCAGCCGAACAGTCTTCCCAGAGGTTGCTTTGACTCAGCTAAATAAACTGAGGGCAAGATTGAAGGAGGGCGTTTCTCTTGGCTTCATTTATTTGTACTAGATTTTTATAAAAATGATATTTGCTTTATGCTTTTCCAGTATAGTTCAAATACTTCACAATATAGTGTTACTTATATATAATGTTCATCGTGTGACCAGGTAAATGAAACTGTGTCTTGCTGAAAGTAGACAGGGTACGGTCATCCTCTCCATCAGGGAAGATGCGGACAACAGAAATTGTTTGGTTCTGCACGCTCAGTCAGTCCCTCAGACTCGTTCAGCTGTTACCTGCCACTCACCCGAGACAGTTAACCGGCTGAGATGAGACGGCCTGCGTTCCGTGTCTCTGCTGTCACGACAGTCTCTGAAAGAAATCACTAGATCCAAATTGACCCCAAGTGGAGGTGTCACCTTGATGCAGAACAGGGCAGATTTCCCTGAGTGGCCCTGCACTGGGAGAGAAAGGATTTTTGACTGAAGGCAGGAAGGAATTTAAGTGCAAGGCAGAGTCAGAGTCAAAAGGAAAGTTTATCGGAGAAGGGGTAACACTCCACAGACAGAGTGAGGTCTCCTCTCAGAGGCAGAGAGTGAGAGAGCCTGAGGAGACTCAGAGGGACAGATAGGGAAAAAGGCAGTGAGAGGGACCCCAAGTGTTGGAGGATGCAGTTTATATATCATTCTTAGTTTCTATGAATTACAGTTTTAAGACTTTGTTTACCTATTTCCTTTGATGGTATGGACATACGGTGTGAAACGTAAGAATATGTAGCATGAAAGGCCTGCTGGCAATTCCTAGCCTTTGATCTATAGGTTCCTGTGGTTTTAGCCACAGGGAAAGACTGATTTTATTTTGCGTAGGGCAGCCACTTAAGGACTCCGCTTTCCCTTCACGGTGTGGGGAGATGGTTTGTTAGTAGTCCCAGCAGAAATCTTCCTTCTTTCTGCACGTTTCTCGTGGTCTGGCCATCAGCATTCTACGTCTCTGAACACAGCTCAATTTAACATTTATTTCTCTTGTCTCCTCCCTGCGTTAACCTGAACGGGACAATGAATGATGTCACTGTGAATGACAGCTTTTCCCTTTCTTCCTTTCCTTCTAGAGGTAATGCCCCCCTCCCCCAAACAGCTTCTCCTGGGTTCCTATCATAGTAACCTGTTCGTGGGTATATGGCTGGGTAACTGAAGCAATATTTCCATAAAAGAATGAAGGTTTCTGAACATTGGCATATAGCAAGAAATGCTCACAAATATTTCTGACCACGAATGAGTATAAATAAACGACTTTGAAAATTCAGTAGTTGAGAATCTGTCGACTTTTTTCTAGTGGCTCCCAAAATAGGGTCAGGATAGTTTAAAAACAAATCCAATACTCACTAAAACCACAATGATTTGGATGGTTAACACATTTCAAGATCCAAAAGGATGGAGCTAGGATGAAAATAAGAGCCAAATTGAAAAGGATAAAATTTAATACTCAACCATGCACCTTCAAGATGGGAGAGCGAGCAATGGCTTCATAGCAGCCTGTGTAAATAGAGCTGAAATTTCCCTCGGCTGTGTTATGAGTGCCAGAAAGGCAGATGCAATGTTAGGCACATTTTCTGTGCTTCAACAGAAGTATACAAAAAAAAAGAAAAAAAGAAAAAAAGGAAGCAATTAATTTCATTCTATCTTGAGGTGATGCCCTGTGGGCAACCCGTTGAAGAGATGCAGGAGAGGGCCAGAGTGGTCAGTTTTAGGAACCTTGGCACGGCGGAGTCTGATGAGCCTTGGTGAGGGCAGAGAGAGGGCTGGAGTGCACTAGATAAATACTGAAGGGCTGTTTTGTGGACCAGGTGGATTATATGTACTCTGGTGGCTCCAGAAGACAGAAATGGTATGTAGATGTTACAAAAAGACAGGTTTTAGTTTAATGTAAAGAAAAACTTTCTAGCAGACTTGCCTCTCTAGGGACGTGGAGGAGTGGGTTTCTGAAGTTGAATATATAGAGGAAGAGGCTGCATGGCTCCCCTACTGAATAGTTCTTATTGGGTTAATCTAGATAAAGGTCCCTTTGGACTCTGTGACTGTGATCCACTTAATGTGTTGTGAAATAAAGCCAAGTTACACGAAAGCAGAGAAATGCAGTGTAAGGTCTGTAAGGTAGAGTGGCCATCACTGTCCGCCATTTTCACCAGGGTCTATGGGCAAAGCCGTTAGGCAGCTGTCCGAGGTGCTGGAGGCCGTTCTTTATGTGGGTGGTTGTGTTCCTCTGGTTTTCATATTTATTTGCGTTTGTTTTGTCTTCTGAGTTTTCGGCTTTCTCGTTCCTTTTATAAATCTATTAACACTCCCCCAACAACGGGTCCTTAATTAGAGAGAAATGCATAGAAAATGAGTAAAAGAGCTGAGCTAAGTTACTATCTGGGGCTTCCTCTTCCCTGAGAAGTAAATGAATCCATTTCACTTTCGCAGTTAGGCGTGTGGCATCTACAGTTGGACCATTTGACTGGATTGATACTTGGAGTAGAACTCCGCCCCCCCATTGTTCTGAGACAATTGTATGGATTTGCCTCTTTGCCTCTTTGTTTTCTACAGTACATGCATATCCTGTAGATAAGAATCATAGGCCAAAAAATTATTTTTACAGTGAGGTGGAAGGAACACTAAATATTTCAGCTAAACAGCTCTGCAGCTTCAGGTACATCCAGAAATATGAGGGCGATAGACCTGTCCTGTTCTCCACTCTCTATTTGTGTCACGTTTTCTATGCTCCTTGATTTTTTTTTTTTGTTTGTTTGTTTTTTGGTCCCTTAGTGTTTTTCCCCATGTAAAAAATGAAAACAGTAATAGCACCACTCCTTAGGGTTGTGAAAACAAGTTAATATATTTAAAGTTATAATACATCACAAATATTAGTGTTACAGATTGTTTGGGGCCCTCAAGACCACCATCAGGTCTGATAATTTGTGGAAGGACGCACAGGACCCAGAAAAGTTGTCATACTCACAGTTATGGTTTGTTCCAGCAAAAGAGTACAGATTAAAATCAGTAAAGGAAAAGGGTGCATTAGGTAGAGTCCTGGTGCACTGGGCCAGCTGCAAGCTGCCCGTTATCCTCCCCGTGGAGTCACACAGACAGAGCTTAATTCTCCCAGCAATGATGTGTGACATGTGCAAAGTGTCACCAACCAATGAAACTCACCCATGTCTTGGTGTCCAGGGTTTTTATTTGGGGGACAGGTGGGGGGGTGGTGTACAGGGCAGAGGGGTGAGCCAATTAGGCATAAAGACTTAGCTACTCAAGTCTTCAGCTCCTCTCCTTCCCCTTCCCCCAGCATGAGGGCAGACTGATATGAACTGATACAGCCCCAAAACACGCAGTCAGTATAAATCACACTGTCAGCATACTATATGGCATGGCCCGAGGTCTCAGGTATACATAGACGCTTTTATCGGGCAGGATACCCCAAGGGTTTAGAGGAGTCAGCAAGGGAGGATCCTGAGACCTTCAGAATAGAAAGGGCCCGGGCAGCTCAGGTTGTACGTTTTGTTTGCTCGTTTTAACAATCTAGTTCAATTTTTTTTTTAATGTTTTGAGTAATTTTTTTAGTATGTGAACATTTATTGAACGTCTTCTGTGTGCCTAGCTCTAACAACTTTCTCTTTATAAACTGAAAAATAATTTCAGTTTCAATCCATGTTATAAACTTAGGAAAGAAATGGTTATTATACCAATATGAAAGGACACAGCAGAAACTAGAGATCACTACTATTATCACAATAATGGTAACAGAGTGCTCCATAACTATTAAGTACAATTACGTGTCAAATACTTTATGTATGTTTTTGGTTGGAGTCCTTATCGACAACTGTGGGAAGCAGGTAATAGTTCAATTTTACAGATGAGAGAATAAAAGTCCAGGAAGTTTTAAGAACTCCTCAGCCAGCCAGGAAGAGGTAGGGTCTGCATTTACCATCTGACTGAACATCATTCGTGATCATTTTCTGTGACCTTGAGAAACAAAGGGTCTAAAAAGTATTTTGAAACATTAAAAATTCAACAAAATTTATTTGACTTTACACATCTCAAGAGCCACAGAATGTTCAGACATGGGGGCAGGGTAGTAGCTAAAACACGTGTTCATCAGTAGATAAGATTTCTGCCAAGGAGATTCAAGATGCCTCTCCCCATAAAAATAGGGTATGAAGGACACTAAAGCAAGGAAAACGGGGCTACAAAGGGGGAGAAATGATGTGGCTATTTTGAGTGTGTTGATTAATAAGAAGAATGTAAAATCTGAATGCTCTTCAAGGTTCCAAAGTTGCTGCCACAATGAAATGTTTGTAATTGTGTCTTTTTCTTTCTGTTCCCTATTATTAGATCTCAGTCAGTGGTAGAAGCTGGGACCCTGAAACATGAGGAGAAGGGCGAGAATGAGAACACTCAGCCACTCCTGGCTCTGGACTGAACCCCGAGTCACCCCACGCTCCTGCACATCGCCAGCCTTCAGTGGCATCAGCCACCTGGGAAGCACGGGCGCACCGACTCACACAGACACGTGCATTCGGCTTGACACAAGACCCTTCACTCCTGCCACCCAGCAATGACTGTCACCAGCCACTGGTCAGAGCAGCCAAAGTGGAACAAAGACCTGAGAGATGTTTTTGTTTTTGTTTTTGTTTTCCTTCTTCAGCAAGGGGATTGGAGGATGAAGCAAGGCAGTTATGAAGCAAGGCAGGATTCTCCCTCCCCCCATAATTATGGTATTCAATGAATTGAAGAGAAAAACTAAATCTGATCCACACACTGCATTAGGACAAAGATTCTTCTGAGGCATCACGCAGAGACCCTCTCCAGTTTTTGCAGTTTAAGATTAAGTGCTTTTCCAAGTAGATACATCAGAATTAAAATGTGCAGCAGACACGATTGTCAAGTTTAATGTAATGCAAAGCCCTGGGACAACAGTATCTCCAGTAATTTCCATTCTTACTGAATTATTTTCTTTGACCTCATCACCAGCATCAAATTGTTCAGCCTAAGAGCATGTTCTCGGAGGTCGGCTATTTGCAGAGTTTGCTTATTTTGACATCCTGCAAAAATGAGTTTAACGTCACATCTTTTGTCAGGCCAGCAGCTGATTATTATGAGCTGACTTTAAAAGAAAGGCACACAATTTGAAACATGATTATTTCATCTTAGCAATGTGACTTCCCACAGGCTACCTGTGTCTGCAGGTGGGGTGGGGGTGGGGGTCCCACCGGAAACACATGTCAGTGACTGATGAATCCACTTAAGTGGCCTCACATGGGTCACTACAGCAGAGAAAAGAGCTGCTAAAGCATTTAACCCCCCACCCTCCTGCAGCCAGTAAAGGTTGTAGAGAAAGGGCTTGGCTGTTGCTGAGTGGGTAGGTATTCGGTCATGGAGGAAGACTCTTAAAGGATGGTTAAATATGCGACTATGGAAAATAAGAGAAGACTGGGAACGCAGGATGAAATGCCAAAGACCGTTTTATTTCTTTGTCTATTCTCCTTAGAAATGGAGCCGCCCCCCCACCCCCACGATCCATTCAAAGGAAATTAGATAAAAATAAAGATATCGTAGCATATGATATCCTTACTTGTGCCATGTTTCCCAAAACCAGGTGTATGTTTTCATGTATCTCTTATTATTCTCCCAGCCATGTGCATGACATGGGCATTCATTAGTATGACCAGCTGGTGCTCAATGTCAAATAAAAATATTTTAGTTGAAAATGGATAGTAAAATACAATTTTACATTTTAAGGATTTGGAAGGGTTAATTTGTTAGCCAAAATATTTAAAGGAAAGAGGTGATTCAACTGGCCATAAATCACCCCAATGGATATTATTACTAATCCTAACCATTTATTACATCTCTTTCTCGATGGATCTAGGGTTTTAATTTTTTTTTCTACTGGTAGAGAATAATAACAAGTAATTTTTGTATTCCAGCCTTGAAATAATATTGAAATAGAATTTAAAATATTTGTAAACCAACTGAATCACAGTATTAAAAAATCAATGCATTTTGTGTAGACATTTCAAATAATGAAATTAACACTGAAACAATTCTACCCATGCAGTGACCGGGACACTTTTCCCATACACCATGACATAGGGAAGAAAGACGAAGAATTAAAGTGAATTAGAAAACCCATTTTATTACTTGGGTTTATAAGACAGTTGTGGAATCCAACTATTTAAAATGCTCTTGGAGGCCATTAATGCCAACCCTTTGCAACAGTAATAATGATTCTGGCTTTTCAATTGGCACTATTTAGAATCCTCCTGTAGTGACCTGATTTTAACTACCATATTATAATTACTAAGTTAAGAGCTAGTTTTTACTCTATTCCATAATTTCATTACATGAATGTAAGATGATGGTACAAAAATGACAACTTATACTTTCAATATCTTAACGTGTATGAACATACGAGAACCAAATTTGATAAGTGACATGAATGTTATCACATGAGCAATGGATTGTATTGTCCTTTGTTGGTCATTTCCTTTGTTCAATAAATACTGAAGGACACAGATACCTTTTTTTTATTTTTCAAGAGTTTGCTTTTTTTCCTGCACTTTGGTAATGAATTTTGATATTTTTCCTCACATACTTCATCAATTTTACTGAGACTTTTGAATATTGGCAAAACAGAAGGGAACACAAAAAGTACTTTGCAAACTCTTCTGGAAGCTAATGTGCTTAAGGACAAGCAGAAGAGGTCCATTTCAATTTTAAAGAACTTTTTTTTTTTTTTTTTTAGAATGAGATAAAGAAAGCATCCTCCTCTGACCTTAAATGGAAAAGAAAGCACAAGTGCTTTTTCTACGTGTGAATGAAATTTGGTAACGTATGTGTCAAGTTTTCATCATTTTTGTTCATACTGGCTTAAAATTCAGTGCACAAATAACATTACATTCTTACAACTAACATTTCTGATTAGCTTTAATTTAGAAAACAAAATTTAATGCGTTCATAATATTCTAAATTAATGACCTGGCCATCTTTGGAAAGAGTAGGCAAGATCATTTTTCAACTGTTATTTCTATGCTGTGGATAATATTAAAGCTACCCTGTGGATAATAATTGCAATGTTTCAAAGTGATGTGTAAAGGGCAAAGGTTTCTCAAGCCAGGGAGCTGGAAGTGTCTTGTAAACTCTTTCAAATGGGAAAGCAATCTCAGCATCCTACGCTCAGGACAAAAATCCTGGCATTTTGGGTCTTCCACTCTGCCATCCTTCATATTTTTACAAAATTGTGATGGGAATCCTCTCAAAGACTCCGTTACTCACGTGGACCCACAGTAGGCAAAGATGCTCTGGATTCCAACCCCGTCAGCACAAGGATCAGGGGCCAGACGTCCTAGCAGCCACCTACCTACCAGATCCCGAGAGGAAACTTTTACTTGCAGAAATTTTACTTTTTCTTCTCAAGACTTAATCCTTGGCATTTAAAAAATTTTTCATGTAGCATTTTTATAACTCAATATAAAATTCCACGTCCCTTTTTCGTGTAAATCTTCCTCTTAGAAACGGTCATTTCGACAGTATCTCCTCCATTCACATAGCGAGGACAGAAATTAAGACACTGGCTTTCGATGAAGAAAGCAAATAGACTCGATGGGTAGGGAACAGTACAGTTCATAGAGACTGGCATAATTATGTCTTTCTTCTTTGTGTAGGAAAATAAAATTGCTTTTTTTCATGAGTGCATTGGACTAAAAATAATTAAAAGAGGGAAGTCTCAGTTCATGAGGGAAGTTGCCATTAAACAGCTAGAAGTAAAGCATTTACACAGCTTGTCGTTAAAATTAACAACAACAACAAAAAAGTGGTATGTGATGACAAAATCATCTAGCTACTCTAGAAAAATATAATTGCATAGAAAAATTACAAGCCAAAGCAATCTATTCACAGTTTCTACATATATTCTCACTGTATGTACACTGATTTAGCCTATTCTTAATGGAAAAAATATCTTTGGCTGGCAAGGTAGAAGCTATCATGTATTCACCTGAAATACGGGCACCAGATTGGTGCCGTCATGGGAAGAAATACAGCAGGGTATTTCCTAAGTGAATTGCAGTGAGGCAAATATTCCCTTTAGTGTCTTCTAACCCTAAGAGGAGATTTAAAAATTTTCAGGCCGAAAATCAAGGGAATTAAGGGCCTTGGTGTTTGAATTCCCAGCCCCGCACCCAAGGAGACAGAACCAGAAAGGCGGCCTTTCTCCCGTGTGTCCTGAGACTGTATGACATGCTAAATTGCAGGAAGGCTACGTCTCTGCTGGGGTGTCAGCTCTGGGTGCCACACATCCACGATGAATATCAGCCGGAAAGACGTGGCGTCCTGCCACACCTCGTGCTCAAAGGAGTCGTCAAAGATGAGCACCTTGCCTTCTTCCCATGTCCTGGAAGAGAAGAACATGGATTCTTATGATTCTGATGCCTGAGGATCGACTCACGTCTGTGCGCAGAAAGGCACCATCAGGATAAACTGCGCGATATGACCGGGTAACTGGCCCGCCAAGCCAGGATTTCTTCTTCCCTTGGTGACTAAGAAAGGATATCAATTTTCAATGCTCAGCGCGGAAGATGTACAAAGGGCAGGAGGCTGGTGGTAAGGGCATCCTTGTTCTTGATAGAAACCTAGGCAAAGCTTGTTTAGCTGGGCGAGCATTCAGGAGACATAGATAGACTCAAAGAAATGACAGAGTATGTATGCATTACCATGCAACACCAATCTTGAAAGAAAGGCAAAGCTCAGAAAAGAAAAGAAAATGACAAGAAGAAAGAAGAAAACGATCCGTGGCTCCCACAGTGGGGTGGTCATTTTCTAAGTCTTAGCATCGTCCGTGGGATTGCGTGATGTTAATGGTGCCACTGACAAGCCTACAATATAGGCAGGAGGTGAGGGGGGAGTGTGCTCAAAAGGGACAAGAAGCAGTCCACGTGTGTCCACAGCAGCAAAAGGTGGAAGCAACCCAAGTGACCACAGGCGGATGAATGAATAAGCAAAACACGATATACACTCACAGTGAAATATGACTCAGCCTTAAAAAACAAGAGCATTTTCACACATGCTACAACATGGATGAACCTTTAGGAATGTGAATGCTATGTGAAATAAACCAGTCACACAAGGACAAACATTGTATGAGTCCACTTATACGCCATATTTAGAGAGGTCAAATTCTTATAGACGGAAAGAACGATGGTGAGCTGTTGTTCAGTGGGTACGGAGCTTCAGTTTTGCAAGATGAAAAAAGTTCTGTGGATGGGTGGTGACGGGAGTGGAACACGACTGGACGTAATGTCCCAAACTGTACATTTAAAAATAATTAAGATAAAAAATTTTATGTTATGTGTAGGTTACTATAATTAAGTAAAAAAGGGGAAAGGCAAAGGGGACTGTGTCGTAGACGAGAAAGGGGGAGAGAAGCCACATGGCATGGTGAAAATGTCATGGATTTCAAAGGGCAGCAGATTTTACCCTCGTGGCCGCCATTTACGAGCACGTGACCCAGGGAGAGTTACTCAGCGTGTTTGAGCCTTTATATTGTCACTGGCGTAGTTGATGTGAGGGTTAGCAGATGCTTGGCACATAGCAGATACTTAATTGATGGCAGAGAATATAAAACAGAAGAAGAAGAAACATATTTTAAAAATAGGAAAAAGGTACAAGGTAGAGGCGATGATGTTGGGAAGTGGCATAACGTTGCCAGAAATAACCTTGGCATCAGTCCCCATGATTTAGCCTTCATTTGAAAAAACTGAACTCTTCCAAGGGAATGAGATATAGAAATACTTAAGAGAATCTCTGAAATATACTTTGTGCTGCAATGACAAGTGATTCGCAGTATTTTATTTTCAAGAGAATGTGGAACTTGCTTAAAATACTAGAAGCAATTAAAATAACTAACTAGAAAGTTCTAAGTTGCACAAAGTAACATTTTTTCACTAGATTCTGATAGGTATAAGATAGCTAAATATTTAGAAATGCTTTAAGGGAGAAAAATCTCGAACATACCATTTATTAATTGAAATTCCTTGTACACTGGGACAAGCTTTCATCTCAGAAACACACTGGCTCATTTATGGAACACCAGTTCCTGGGAGGATAGAACTTTAGTTACTACTGGTTTGTGGCTTTTCAGATATTTTAAGTCCAATATGGACTATTATAAACCATTGATTAAACAATTTTTTTTTTAAATGAAAAATCTAAGAGGTATTCCAAAAGGTTGGATTCTTTCAGGGCCATAAAACTCATGGGAAAGTGTTTCCTATTAGACTTCCATTTGCCCTTCCATTTTCTTTCATACAGTTCCCCAGAAAACAGCAAAGATACTCAATTACTGACTATAGATTCTTAAATGTAGATTTCTTTTTGAATACTTAAAAAATGGCGTTTTTCAATCTCCTATCAGAGCTCGGTGACTAAGAGCAACTTTAATTAAGAGGGGAACATAAGGGGGCAGCAGAATCCACCCAAGTGATGCACAGACCGAAACGAGTTGGGGTTAATGGGGGATGTATCACCTGCCTGGGAGAAGATGAGGGTCTCCACAACAGAAAGAGACAGGGCACAAGGATGTCAAAGGTCCTTGGCTCTCTCCTGAATAAGAAACAAGACTCCCACTGCAATGCAAAGACAGTTTTCAGGCCACTTGCTTTGTGAGCAAAGCTCCCCCAAATATGATTACATTATACTCAAGTGACATGGGAAGAGCTTTCGGAGAAAAGACCTCCAGAGAAGCCTTTGAAGGAAGTCTTCCCGAAGGCGCTCACACTGCCTTTCTCAAGGGTTCAGAAGAACAGGGCTTGAGGTGGGGAGCTGCACCCCGTCCCTGGATGGTCACCTCGGCTCACTTCTAGAGTTTCCCACCATTATGAGAAGGACGCCTCCTCTCCCTGGTTTGCAAAAAGATACAAGAATATCTGGCCACAAGACACAGCAATATATATAATTCCTCTATTCCTCTATTAACGATAATGATAGACTGTTGTCAGCACATAGCTAATAACTATACTTTGGTCATAGAATCACCATAAATATTAATAATGCTGAGTATCATTAATAATGATACTAGGTGCTTATAGAGTCTCCCACCTAAAAACATCATAGATCTTGTCCCAGTGACCTTTGCTAAAATGTTCTCAGGTAGGTAAATAACATGGTTCTAATTTTCCAGAACAGGAATCACATGGAAGCAAGTTCAGATGTCTGCAGTGGTACGGTGATTCTGTGGAAGAAGCAGAAAGCCACTAGACTTGCTTTGTTACAGCCCAAACTTTTAGATCATGGTACTAGGGGATGTTCTTAGTGCCTGCAGATGCTGTGCTGAGGCGGCCTGTACCGTATTTAAACTGGCCGAGTGGATATAGGAAAGGGTCACAGAGTTCAGCAACAGGATACTTAATACGGCTCTTATTAATTCCGATCTATGAAAGTTCCTCAGTCTGACGCCACTGGAAATTGTAGCACACAGTGGAACTGAAATGTACAACAGCATTATCATCACTTCCCTTCTCTCTCCTCCCAATATATATAGACCGAAAAACCCACACACACCACTTTCCTTCCTTCCTTCCTTCCTTCCTTCCTTCCTTCCTTCCTTCCTTCCTTCCTTCCTTCCTTCCTTCCTTCCTTCCTTCCATCCATCCATCCATCCATCCATCCATCCATCTATCTATCATCTATCTATCTATCTATCTATCTATCTATCTAATCTATCCATCTGGACAAAGCATTTTTCTGGAAGCCAGGACACCTGTGTTCTTGTTCTGACTGCTGCTAACTAGCCACATGGCTGTGACAAAGCACTTCACCCGGGGGCCTCGGTTTCTCCATTTGTGCAATGATAGAGTTGGAAAAGATGGTCTCTAAGGCTCCTTTTTCGGCACCAAAATCCCCTTAATTCTCTGAGCCAAGCTGTTGGTTAGGGCTTCGGTCTTCATATTGTTTCACAGGATATATTTAACAAGCTTTCATCTGAGAAATGGGTACAGCATTTGCTATTTTGTTTACTGTCAAAGTATTAATTTCGGTAAAAGGCGGCTAACTTCACAGAGCCTCTCTTTGAACCCGCTCCACACGTAGGCACCCCAGTTCCTCTCACCACCCCCCGTGGGCACAGCCGTTGCACAGGCTGCCGCAGGGCACCTCTCCTCTCCAAGCAGGTCTGGGATCCAGACTCGGCCCTGCTGTCCACCCCCTGTGCTGCCTCTTTCTGGAGCTTCTGACTTTCTCCTCTTTGTCATCCTGGAGCAGAGAGCTCTGCCACGCAGCTGAGAAAGCCAGAAAAAGGAGGACAAGGAGAGGGAGGAGGGAGAGGAAAACTGCCCCCTCCCCCTCCCTCCACAGCTCTAGTTCCAGGGTGGGGCATGGGGAGGAAAAGGAGAAATGGGGGGGAGGGGGAAGGGTTGCTATCAGCCATTCTCCTGAGCCCTCCCTGTCCCGTGGTCTGTACAGGTGCCATTCCTCCACCAGCCCGGGCCCCACCGATGCTCGATGCCAACCACGCTCCTCTTCCTAACTCCCTAAAGCTCCCCGACCCCGCTCAGCCCTGTCAGAGTGCGCACTCCAGGTTACAGGAAACGCCTCCAATGTGCCAGAAGGGCTTGCTCTTACTCCTTGGAATGTAAGGGACAAAAGTCTCCATGTCTGCAGTAATCAGACAAGAGGACAATAAAAGCTCGAAAATACTGAGCACTGCACAGTACTGTGCAAATACAGTTCTGAGTGCATTTAGATGGATTACGTTGATCTTCGAAATCACATACGGACACACTCTTATTCTTCTCATTTTACAGATGAGGAAATCGAGGTTTAGAGAGGTTATGCAAGTTTTCAAAAGTTGCACTTAATATGAGGGAAAGCCAGGATTTGAGCCCAGGTCATGTGACTTCAGTGCTCTTCATTTGCTTTTATGAAGATGCATAATGTTAAAATCTTAAGTAAAAACTCAAGATATATTTCCATAGAAACATTATTATAGTCCCTGGTTCCAGAGTCTAATTAATAAATATCATGAGTTAAAAGCTTCTGGGGGCTGGCCATCATTTAATATTTCCATGGGAAAATGGATTCCAATTTGCCAAGTCCTCAACGATCAGTTCGATGAACAAATGTTTGCACACGATTCATCTGCAATGTAAAAAGTGCCATTCCCTGTGGAGGTACGGGTAGGTATCTATCCTTATAAACGGCCCCAAACACACCTGGCTAATCAGAACAGGGGGTAAAACTTTACTGATGTTTTTAATTCACCAAATTTCTCAAGGGAGAGAAAAGAGGACAAAATGTTACCATTCGATAACAAACTTTCAGGAAAGATATCCAGCTAAAAATGCCATTTTTGTCCTACGATCCCAGATGGGCAGAACAGTAACTTGTAAATAGGGTCAC